GTCTGTTCCATGTATCCATGCCTCTGGTTCTATTTTGTTCATCAGCTTATTTTGTTCATTAGATTCTACATATTGGTGAGATCATATGGTATTTGTCTTTCTCTGACTGGCTTACATCACTTAGCATAATAATCTCTAGGTCCATCCATGCTGTTGCAAAGGGTAAGATAACTTTCTTTTTTTACAACTGCAGTATTCCATGGTGTAAATGTCCCACAGCTTTTTTATCCATTCATCTACTGATGGCCACTTGGGCTGTTTCCAGATCTTGGCTATTATAAGTAACACTGCTATGAACACAGGGGTGCATATATTCTTTCTGATTGGAGTTTTGGGATTCTTAAGATATATATATCCAGGAATCAGGCCAATGGGTCAAACGGGAGTTCGATTTTTAATTTTTTGAGGAAACTCCATACTGTTTTCCATAGTGGCTGTACCAGTCTGAATTCCCACCAACAGTGCATGAGAGTTCCCTTTTCTCCACATCTTTGCCAGAACTTGTCGTTTGTCGATTTGTTGATGGCAGCCATTCTGACAGGTGTGAAGTGATACCTCGTTGTGGTTTTAATTTACATCTCTCTGATGACTAGTGCGTTGAGCATTTTCTCATATGTTTATTGGCCATCTGTATGTCCTCTTTGGATATGTTCCTATTTAGGTCCTTTGCCCATTTTTTAATTGGATTGTTTTTCTTCCTGGTGTTGAGGTGTATGAATTTTTTATATATTTTGGAGATTAACCCCTTATCAGATGAATCATTGGTGAATATGTTCTCCCATATGGTGGGTTCCCTTTTTGTTTTATTGATGGTTTAGTTTGCTGTACAGAAGTTTTTTAGTTTGATGTAGTCCCATTTCTTTATTTTTTTCTTGTGTTTCCCTTGCCCTCAGAGACATATTGGCAAAAATATTGCTCTTGGAGATGTCTGGGATTGTATTGCCCATGTTTTCTTCTAAAATTTTTATGGTTTCATGACTTACATTTAAGTCTTTTTATCCATTTTGAGTTTATTCTTGTGTATGATGTAAGTTGATGGTCTAGTTACATTTTTTTGCACGCACCTGTCCAATTTTCCCAACACCATTTATTAAAAAGACTGTTCTTCTCTGCTTTCTATACTGTGCTCTTTGGAAGGAAGTCATTGTATGAAACCCACACTAAAGGAGTGGGGAGTTATGCTCCATCTCCTTGGGGGTGGACTATCTACATAAATTATGGATTTATTTGGAATTCTTCTGCACAGAATGTTTTGACTTTTTAATCATGTATTACCAAATTTTGAAAAATTAAAAAATAAACCTGCTCTTCGACTAGGGGAAAACACACACACACACACACACACACACACACACACACACACTGAGGTGAAAACGACAAATGGTGTGTGGTTTCTCCCAGAGTGTTCTGCAGACAACCATGGGGACTGCAATGGGTTCAAGGCTAACTTTGCCATTTCCCACCTTTGTGATTCCTAAGAAGGTACTTGAGTTTCTCTTGATCTCATCGGTTAAATGGGTGGAAACAGGGCTATTGGAACGATCCATTAGATAATACGGGGGAACAGGCTCTGTAAAATGTAAAGCCCTACCAAGAGCTGAGGTGCTACGGAAGGGTGTGGGGAACTGGGTTTGACTGAGCTGCCTCTGGGCCTCCTGGGTGGAGCTAGAGCTCTTCCCTCCCACTCACAGCTGAAGTCAAAGCTCGTGAGGCCAGCCTGGCACTGGGCGTGGCAGGCAGGGAAAGAAACCGCACACAGGAAAGAAAGTCTGTATACAGGCTTGGAACAGCTTGGTGGTCACACACTTCTGTTAGGAAGTTGGCCTGTGACCTTAGGCAAGTTATTTATCCTTTCTGAACCTCAAGGCTCATATGTAGAATGGAGGTAATAATAGCACTCCACCAGGGCTGTTGTGAGCATTAAATGAAATAACGAAGCACTTTGCACTGTGTCTGCCTGATTAATATCATCACCACTCTATCTGATCCTCACAATGTTTGTTCTTTTATAGTTGTGGAAACTGAGGCTATGAAGGTTAAGTGATGTGCTTAAGGTCACCAGCTGGTGAGTGGCTAAGTGGCACTTGGAGTTCAAGTCTGTGGGACTCTAAAGCCGGTGTCCTTTCCACCGCAGCACATGGCCTCTGCCCACAGCCTGGTTCTCTTGGTTCTTGGAGCCTCTCCTTCCCACTTCCAACCGGCTTAAGTTTTATGGGGGAGCAGGGGTGGCCACAGCCTCTCCAGGGCTAGAGAGCTGGCCTTCTGTGGCTCTCTCCTGGTTGGCGTGGGGTGGACCTCGGCCGGGGGGCTGAGCTGGCAGTAACGACTGGGCCCCAGGTTGGACAACATTTTCCTCTCCACCTTGGAGAACACCCACCCCTCCATCCCCCGCCATTGCCACGGCAGCTAGAGTCCAGGCCTGCAGTTCCTCAATTCCTCCTCCCAGGCCAAGCCGTCTCTCTCTAATCCTCTAACAGCTCTTGACAGCCTTGCAGGCTACAGAGAGGAAAGAGGCCTACGTAGGCTGCTGGCTGCTCCGCCTGTGCTGCCTGCCCAAAGTCAGCCTCTCTGCTAACCTCCCGTCTTTTCCCGGTCCCCAGTCCAGCTCCTGAGGCTCCCCAACCAAGTTCTTGTCAGCAGAGGCCAGGGGGCCCGAGACAAGGCTCCTGGCTGTGCAAAACACAGGCCACAGTGATGCCCTGCCACAGTCAACAGACCTGGGTTTGAATCCTGGTCGTGCCTCTTATCATCCCTGCCACCAAGGACCTCTTCCAGCCTCAGTCTCCTCATTTGTAACATCAAATGGTTATAATAAATAATTCCCACAGTTTTTGTGCGACCTAAACATTGAGAGGTATGCGAAGCATTGAACGCTGCCTGGCTCAGCGCCCAGTAAGCAGCTTTTGTTACTGTGCTTACTTGGGGGCGGGGTGAGGAAATGCCAAGGGGACAGCTCTGTGGAGGAGGCCAGTGGACATGTCCTTGGAACCCCAAGGCCTCCCCTGTGATTCTAGGATATTATTCTGGTGGCCCTTAAAACAAAAACACATACTTATCCCAGACAGCCTTTCAGGCAGGTCCTGCACAGTTCTGCGCCCCCACCCCAGGCCACTCCTAGCCTCCTCCCATCACCCAGCACCGATGGCTGCCACTTGCTCCCTGTGTGTGCATGCGTCCATCCCCCCCTGGAGAAAGGGGGCTCCCGCAGAAGGGACTGCAGGGTTGGCTGTCCTGACACATACTGGGATGTTAGCCAGGTGTGTGGGGACTCTTGGGAACCCTCCCCTCACTCATGTGTGGGCAGAAACCACATCTGTATCCCCTAACCCCTGGCTCAGTGAGCAGCCCATATAGGCTCAATAAATGTGTATAGAAAAGAACTGAATTCAGGACCCACCAAGGACCGAGCTATTCTGAGGGGCCTTTATCATCTTCTTCCTTTCAGGGGCTGCTCTGGTTCCAGGAGTGGCAGTGTCTCAGTTATCCCCAGAAACCCTTG